TGAACGTCTTTTGTGTTTTTCCTCAACTGTTGCACAAAGCCATGCTTGTCTTACCAGTACGCGACGTTCTCCCGGATTAGGGTTCAGGAACTCGATGTTAAAGGAGCCACAAAAAATTGAAGTTCCGTTCTACGCAGGTGCGGACCAGCGAGCAGCCTGCAGATTCCCTATTATGGCCGGAGACGCAGACGAACTATACGGAGGCTTAGTGATGCAGGAGAACTTGTCATGAGAATTCCCTATGCTGCCTGATTACAGGAAACCGGGATCCCTTGATGTCGTTTTTGCAGATTGCCATGGATGAGTTTCCAATGCTATCGAGCGGGCTGGAGTTCCAGACCTAAACATGCTTTGCACGTTCGCTGCTTGACAAAGTCTTGGGGGTCTTCCGAGGTCTTCAGGCACTCAGCCGCGAATCTTCCTCAGCTGCATGGCAACATATGTATACTTGTTTCCCCTGCGCCAGGAAGTGGTGCCAAGGCAACGAGGATGTCGGTGTGAAAGGGGAGGGGGTTCAGGGCTTAGCAACTGCAGGAAATTGAAGATGGTGCAAGAGACTGGTCACACTCATGGCCTCAGGTCGGAAGCTGCGCAGCTCCCTTACGCCATGTGCATGCCGGCAGTTGTTGCCCTTAGGGATGCTGAACAGTAGCTGAATTCACTTGACTTCTGCAAGTCTGCAACATCTGATGATATCTGAAGATGCACCTTCCTGCAGTGCCCACGAGCATAGAAATTGCATAGCCTCACCATCAGATAGCAGTCGCTGCTAACTGTCGATTGCACCACCACGGGAGCACGCGACGAATGTCTCTGAAATGGAAAGCTGAACGCAGCGGAAGAGTTTTTGTCAAGGAGCTGCGTCTTGTACCTCAGAGCCCATGCCAGTACTGGCTTAGTCATGCACCAGTCCCATGCAAGCTGATGTTGCGGGTCATCTGGCCGCGTCGCACATGTCAAAGCCAACACACACACACACTCACACACACACACACACAAAGAGGATTCGGGAAATTGTGCTACAAGTCATGTGGCCGCACCATGCCACGCCACACATGTCAAAACGATTGGAAAAGGCCTGGTGTTGCACTATGTGGCTTCAAGACCGCCCACACGTCAAACAGGATTCGGGTAAAACTGCAGAGGCCGGCTCACCGTGATGCTTTACACACTACAGCAGAGTGCAAAGGAGTTGTTTGCCTTCCTGACATTGGGCATAGTGCAGGAAACAAAAGTAGACATCATTCTAGAGTAGCATGCTTTCGCCATTCGGCCATCCATTCGGCTGGTCTCTCTGCCTTAATCGGGATTACTAGGGGGGTACTATAATCCCTATGAAGGACTGTTCCTTAATCGGGATTATAATGGGGGGGGTACCATAATCCCTATTAAGGACTGTGAGACACTGTGAGTATGGGGGGGGAACATCCCAAGGTTTCCGCTTGCATCCCAAGACGCACGCTCTGTGTGACGCGGAGCTCCTGGGATGCCAGAGGATGCCACGGTTTAGGGTCTAGGTTTTAGGGTTTAGGGGTTTTAGGGTTTAGGGTTTAGCTAGTTAGAACTCGCATCTAAGCACCATCTTTGGGTTCGGCCGGTCCACACTAACAGTCACCACCAGCAGACCCACAAATAAAAGCACCCGGTAAATGCCAAAAAATTGACTGAGATTCCTGCTATTCCTGGTGCTATTCCTGGTGCTATTTCTGGTGCTATTTCTGGTGCATTTTTTTGTGCTATTCCTGGTGCTATTTCTGGTGCTATTTTTTGTGCTATTGTTTGTGCTATTTCTGGTGCTATTTTTTGTGCTATTGTTTGTGCTATTTCTGGTGCTATTTCTGGTGCTGTTGCTGGTGCTATGTGACTAACAATCACCATCAGCAGACCCACAAAAAACAGCACCCGGTAAATGCTAAGCTGATAAAATTGACTGGGATTCCTGGTGCTATTTCTGGTGCTATTGTTTGTGCTATTTCTGGTGCTATTTTTTGTGCTATTCCTGGCGCTATTTCTGGTGCTATTTTTTGTGCTATTGTTTGTGCTATTTCTGGTGCTATTTCTGCTGCTATGTGACTAACAGTCACCACCAGCAGACCCACAAAAATAAGCACCCGGTAAATGCTAAAATTGACTGGGATTTCTGGTGCTATTTTTGGCCTGTGTGTTATAAGGCCACGGCGTTATTTGACTGTTAGTGTGGACCGGCCGAACCCAACACCATCTTGTTAAAAGTGGAACAACGTGGAGAACGGCCCACAAAAACAAACAAACATCTGTGAGAATTTCGGCCACGACTCGCTTTCACCATGTGCGAACTTGCAGGCCGCATCCTGGCAGTCGCCGCGCACGAATGCGCGGCAAATGGCCTGAGCACATCCCAAAAGCCAAAAGCGTGTTCTGAGAATGCTTTGAGGGAAAAAGAACCCGACGTCGCAGTCGTCAGGTATGTTGGGCTTCAGTTTGTGGAAAGGAGAAGCCATCCTGGATCATCTTATCTTGCTTCGTTCCTTGCCTGTCCTTGCTTCCTCTCGCGGCACCACAGCAAGCAAACTAGCATGAGCTATGATGGAAGCAGGGCCAAACACATTAGAAGACTGATACCTATCCATATCAAGGAGTGGAAGGGCGTAGCGTTTTATCGGTTAAGTTTCGTTCTTGCCACCAGGACACCGTCTTGGTTAAGTCCGGAGGCACGCGCAGCTCCCCTGTGGAATGCGCAAAGCGGCAAGAAGGGTCGTTGCAACAGCCTCCGCTGAGCATGTCAATCATAAACCCCAGCCAGGCCGAAAGATGCATCTCGCATGCTTTGAGGCTCGCAAAAGTTGAGCTCGACACCCCGCGCAAACCTAGGTGCACATCAAAAAAGCACAGTGAATGGCCGAGGAATCACGGACGTGGGAGGCGTGCTGGGTGATAGTGCGGGCAGGAGGCATTCCACACAACTTGGTTTTGCTCAGCTGCGCCACCACTAAGTGGTTGAGCGGCAAGTCACCAGACTCCAGACCCGGCTTCCTGTCGGGGAAGCTAAGTTTGGGCACAAGAAACATCTGTTGAGGGATATTGCCCCCCCTTGGAGTCGGATGGTCCATATCAAAGTCGAGACACATGGTCGCAAGCAGCAAAAAGTTGCGGCGCACGGCTTAAGCCAAATCTTTCGAGTTCAGGTGACACGTCTCTTCAAGCCGTCACTGCACGTCTGACAGATGCAACTTGCCACAAGGGGTTGATACACACCGAGCGACGGGCAAGGATCCACTAGCACCAGGCCATTGAGACAGAAGGCCCTAAAACTCCAGGACTCCAGGGGCTTGAAGGTCGCTATGCGCAGCTGTCTCATGAGATAGTGTTTGTTCGATAAGCTGCTTGGCACATGGAGCTGCTGCTGTGTGAACATTGCAGAGTTAACGGGCCGCAGATAACATGCCTGGGGGTGGGAGCCACGCTGCTTGCATGTGTCAGACTGCCTTCAGAAGATCGCCCTCGACAAAGCCTGTCAGATAACTTCTTTACACCGGCAGCTGTATCCGCTGTCTGCGCTCATCACCCTACGTTATATCCCCCTACATTATACCCTCTAAGGGATTACATTCCTGCGTGCAGACTGTCAGTCTGAGCACAGAAACCTAGCCTGGGGACGAAATAAAAGAGAGGATGGTCAAAGATCTGAGGGCGGCGGCGGGGTGAGACAAAATTTGAAGTGGTCTAGTTTTAAACAACTTACTGCCTGTGAAGTGAGGAGGAATAAAGGAGCAAATATGGGGAGGGGAAGAACCAGAATGCGTACAGCAAATAGTGTATCTATGTGTCCATCTTGCAGACCCAGGAGAACATGTTAGGTGCAGACGGGCAGCTTGCCTCGACGTCGCAGCACTGCGCCACACATTCGGTGACGAAACGTTCGGTGATGAAGATTCGATGTCGTACATTACGTACATATACAGCATAGGTTTTCTTTTTTCAACGGTCGCCTGGTAGTGGTGCATCGCATCCACTGTCAGGCACATTCGATGATGATCATTCGGTGATGGGCTTTCGATGATGCAGCTCGAGCTATAGATTCAGCTTTTTATGCGTTTTTGTGGCAAATGTTCCCTGTCTTGTTTGAGCATGTTGAATGATAAACTGGTGATGCTCATTGTTATTGTCATCATAGTTTTCAGTCCGTCCTAAAAGGGTAAAAGCATCCTTGAAAGATTCTAGAAGCCATGATATATATATATATATATATATAAATATATATACATATATATATATATAGATTTATTTATTTATTTATGTTATACCCTTTAAGGGATTATATAGATATAAATAAAAAAACATAAATACAAATATAATATGAATATAAATAGAAATATCAATATAGATATAAATATAAGTATAGATACAAACATAAATATAAATATAAATACAAATTCAAATATAATATTAAGATTAATATTAATATATGTGTATATGTACATATATATCTATATATATATTATACCTTTTAAGGGATTATCTATATATATATATATACATGTAAATATTATTGCTTCGTAAGACACCTTGTGATCCGGCTTTAAGGCTTTCAAAATCGTTAAGACGTGGTCACTCAGACGACTCTTTGGAATCTTTTGGAAGAAAGACTCACCGCTGTGCCCTTCAATTCTTGGTTGGCTTTTACAGTTCCAAAGCCGTTAGATGTAAGCCCCCAACGTATGAAGGACTGAGTGGGCAGAATACAAGGAAGCTTAGCAATGGATCCAGTTAGCTGCCTTAAACTCGGCTCGCCTGATGGCCAAGCGTATTCTTCAGGCGAGCAATTGAATGTCAACAGTACACCAGTAACAGCAGAGCAACACATGGCAGCTGCACGAGTCTAGTTCACACATGAGGCTTTCCGAAAATAGGGGTGCCCCTTATACCCCTTATAACTTATAACTGTATAATCCTTCTCAAAAACAGTACCCCCATTTTCGGAAACCCCCACACCATTTTTCGGAAAGTCATCTGCAAGGCTGTCACGGAAGGGCGTCGAGCCGGATCGTCATGCAGTAGCGAGCTGTAGTCAACCCCCAGCGATGCGCCAGAACCTGACATAGTGACAAGCTAGAATTCTCACCGAACGATCTCTCGTACTCTACATGTCTCAGCAGTTTTGCTGCCATGCTTCTTGTTTCCACGAAGTTGGCCACCTTGCCGAAAGACCACACGTCTGCCTCAAAAAAAAGCTCGCTCTACGACCATTCTTGCAGGCTGTACAAGGCCTTGTAAGCGTTGAACTCCCGGCTGCCATCAATTTCTGGAGCCTGTTGGGCAAGGCGAGGGGACTGCGAAAAAACTCTGAATGATGTGGTGTTTTCCGCCGTTACGCTCCGCACCCGCGCAACTCTACATAACTCTACAACCAGCGGAACAAGTCCGACTTGGCTTTTATGGGGGTCAATTTAGACATGTTGCTCGGTAGCCCGGTGTTCCCATAAGTCCGCGCAGGCAGCATGAGGCGCCAATTCGAGTGGCAGTTCCAAGATCGCAAAGCTTGCCACGGACCTGACCAGCGTCGAACACCGACTCAAGCAACTGCATGCGACATCATGAGGCAATCCTTTCACTCGTTGCAACTCATCCTGACTCTTGATGGTTCCGTTTTAAATCCTCCAAACTGAGCCAAGCGGCCCCTTCCGATTTGATGAGGACGTTGTGCGGCTTAACGTCGAGATGCGCGAAGCGCTCGCCGTGCATGAAGGCCAAAGCCGACACCACGTCGCCAAGGACTCGAAGCAAGGAGTCGGTTTCGATTTGCCCTGCCTCGACGAAGTTTCGAAGTGCACCGCCATCACAATATTCTAGAAGGATATCCAACGTGTCCCGTGTTACGATGACACCCAAGAGATTCACGATACAGGGATGACGTAGTCGCTCCAGGCACCGAACTTCGTTGACATGGGTGGGATATGGCTGCGCACTTCTCCTTCGGTGTATGCGCTTTACCACGAGCTTGGTCCGATCTGAAACTTGCGCTGCCAAGTGGACTTCGCAGTTATCCGTCTTGGCCAGAACCCCTCCCACAACAAAGGCTGCAGGCATGCGCGCCAAGCGCCCAAGAATGTCCGCATCGAGCTCTTCCGGGCCAAAGCTGGGCCCATAGCTCAAGTCGTCAACGTCCCACGGCTCGACAGATTTTGGCATCTCCGGCTTCGTCTTTTGCAATGCCGGTCCGACCGGTCCATCCAGCCCCTTAGAATGGGCCTGAAGACTCTGAAAACCAGAAGCTTCTCGGCGGCCTGCCCTTGGAACGTGATGCGCGTCTACCGTGCTGAGTGGCGGAACTGCAAGTGCATCGCTTGCTATGTGCAGGGCCTGAGCGGAAAACTCAAAGCCTGGAGAACTCAAGCAAACATCGTGGACCTCTTCGCGCGAAGCATCCTCAAGGCAACTGCTCGTTGCATCGGCAGAATGCTGATACTGGCGGCTTCTTGGCACGGAAGCACCGCATCCCATTCTGTGCCGTCTGCATTTCCCAACGTTCCTACTTGACACATGGGCATTGCGTGGGCATGCTTACTATGAGAGTACCCGAGCCTTTCAGGGCATGCAACCTTCGGCTGATTATCGGGTGAACATGGGGTTGTCTACAGTGATGACACTGCTGCATGAATCAATCAAGGCTTAGGCAAGGAGCTCGCAAGCCTGAGAGAAAAAGGCAACGGGCACATGTCAACTTCATTGCGTTAAGCTCAGATCGCTGCTGACTAGTTTGCCTCAGGTGCTGCACCAGTCCGACCAATATAGCGATGTTGTTTGAGCATTCTTCGCATGGTCATGAGCACTTCCGGGTCGCTGTACAATGGTAACGAACGGTGCCGGGTGAAATCTTCTTACGAACTATCTGGAATGGCAGGGCATATGCCTTGTGACAGTACAAATACAGTAAGATGCACGTTAAGCACCCGTCAGGCACATTACCAGGTTACCAGGCAGTGAAGCTCAATTCTTCCAGCTCTTCTTGTGCACCAGGATGGGAACCCTGACAAGCCTTGAGAGCAAATGCAGGAATGTCGAATGATGTCGAATGTGACGTGCAAGGCCTGCTGCGAAATGCAAGGATTGAGCTGAGGCCCCTGCACCCATCTCGCACTTCTCCGCATCCTCCTCCTGTGAATTTTGGCCTTTGATCCGGATCTCATGTGTGCTGGAAACTCTAATATAATCCGCCGAGGCCTCGGGCCGTAGGTGTGTTTGGGCCCCAACGGCCCCAACCCCCAACCAAACCCAACCCCCCCACCCCCCACCTGCTGCGCATACAAAGGAATGATTTGCACGGAGCCCCTCTCGCAGAACAGCCCGCGATCTCCGGCTTGGGTTGCCTCGCCACTGGGCAGTCCCCGGCCGAGGCGGGTTGCGTAGCGTGACAGTTACATAGCCCTTGCGGAGCATTCGACAATCACAATCATCTTCCCCCTGAACTGAAAGATTGCCCTGACATGCGACTGAAGCACGCAATTCCCAGACTTGGAGATACAACGCAACACACACTGATCCATTTCACTTGTTAGCACATTGAAACAGTCAGGGTGCTCTGCAGCTTCAAAGCCGGCTTGGTGCCTGCATTTGCAAACTTTCGGCAACACAAAGTAAAGCTCAAAAGTAAAGCACAAGCCTATGGCATCGCGAGGGGCAGGAGGGTCCTCATCCATTCGGGGCCTCAGCTGTGTAAGAGTGCATTTTGTCGCTGGCTTGCCTTGAGATGGCTTGCGCACTGACAACCCAGGTGGCTGACGAATGCAGGACCAGAAACCGTACTGAACGTGCAGATTTGCGATGGCCTGAATACGCGAGAATACGCGTTCGGTGTTGTAGTACACACGCACACACACGCACACGCACAAGCTGATTTTGTGCATTTGTGTGCCAGACACCAGGAATAGAAACAGTTTTGAAACAAATGTCTTTGCACGTCGGCGCCAGACTCCAGAAAGGGGCACTGCAGAATCCCAGCCTGCCAGACCCCTGGAATGGCATCAAAATACACAAAAGTGAGGGCTGAAGAATGAGGGCCAATCAGTGCCTCCAAGCAGGCACGTTATGGTACGTTTGCACAAAGTTTGCACACAAAGTTTGCACACAAAGTTTGCACACAAAGTTTGCACACAAAGTTTGCACAAAGTTTGCACCTTCTCTCTGAAAGCGTCTCTGACCGAATCTGACCGGCAATCACGAAAGGGAGCACCGGTCGCACGACCCCCAACCCTTCATACAGGAGACAATCCACCTAAGACTTTGCACGGTGCTTTCGCCAAGGCAAAGGCGTAGAAATGCTGATTTGGCTCTTCGCAGTCTTTGCGTGAGCTGAAACCTCTCACCAGCAATGTGAGGAGCAGTACAGCCATGCATGCCGTAAGAAATCTGCACATCCAGCAGCTTTGGACCTTCCTGCTGTCCTAAGAGGAGAACTAAGATCTGGGCCAGCGAAAGTGGCAATGCTTGTAGGCAATCTCCACCTAAGTCACTAGCAAGAGCCTCGGGCCTTTAGCAATAGGATGCATCACGCAACACTTTACAGTAGGATAGTGTAGGAAGCAAAGCTCAAGAAAGAGGTACCTTGTTACATAAAGGCCAAAGATCAGACTGCATGAGTCTCACACAAACACATATCAAGTAGGGTTTATATTTCTTGTACTGCGGACTCGACGTCGTGAATCATATCAAGGTGAGACAGCTTAGATTTGGGTTTATATTTCTTGTACCCCCAAAAGGACACCCTATATATATATATATATACACTCACCAATATTAAGCAGGAACCTTATATGCACTCACCAAAAACAGTAATACAAACACTGCTTCATTTTCGCAAGCACTCCTCGGGCATGGACATCACGATCGATGCAGATTCGCTTGTCGTCGTCCTCTGCTGCCAAGACCACGACCCTCAGACCTGCAGCTTGCCAGTTTGTGTTGTAGACGGTGGCAACTGGCAACATCCAAGAACCCATCCCCTGAGTCGCGGTGCTTTGTACCGGGAGCGTGGTGAAAATGAATCGTCGGACTTGAGCAATGGCCGCGCGAAGTGCCTCGCCAGCAGGTGCAATGGAGCGGGGCACTCGTGACTTGGCTCATGTGCCAACATCGCCACACTGCCACGCCCGAGGGTGCCTGCGGCCAACCAATTCCATCCTGCATACATTCAAACTCTCGTTTCAAACCAATGAAATACAGTGAAGCGGAAAGGCTGTGACTAGGCCCTATAGCCTAGTCACGAGTTCTCGACATCGGCCTGGGGGGCCACCGAGAGGTGCAGTATCCGGGCGTAGTGAGCAGCGTGGCCTGCAGAAGCGATGGAAGATTGTGGAAGATTGTGGAATCCTCAATCTGTAGAGACATCATAACACACAGCTTATGACATAAAACTTGTGGCCTTGCACAAACTGAAAGCATACGAGGCCATCTGCAGACTCCGCCGAGGCAGCTCTGCCTGGAGTCAAGGACGTGGTAGCAAGCTTACTGAGCTTACTGCCTCCGCCCTTTGACAGCCGCTGAACGCCGCAGCATGCTGCTGCCTGGCTGATGTATCCAGAAGACCTCCAACTTACCGACCTTGGCCGACATACACATCATCTTCGGATACGAGAGTTTTGAGCATAGGGAGGCTGACCAGGCTTCCCAGAGGCTGCTCCGCGGCACGCCCTTGTAGCTTGTCCTGCCGAGCAGCAGCAGCAGCAGCAGCTATTCTAGTCCAAGCTTGTCCTAGAGCAAACAACTGGGACACAACGATCGGAGGTCCCAACTGGTCTCAGCAGCTGCTGCCAAGTTCTCCGGAAGACGCTTCATGTAGCGCTCGATGATTCGTTGCGGCTGCTCCTGCTCAAGGAGATGGAGATGAACGGAGCGGCGGAGCTGCAAAAGCAGCCTTTCATTTCCAACAGCAGCACGCGCTCCGCAATCAGAGGCGACAGCTGAAGCTCCACGTCGCTTGTAGACGGCGCCTGGTCACCGTGGCAATCTCTGCTAAGCCTTACCGGGCTGCAGCTTTTCATTGTACAAATCGGTACGACGCGAAGCATGTGTGGGCTCCACAGCAGGAGAAAGCTGGTCGCAAGTCACGCAGAACGAGAGCCGAAGAGAAGCATTCATCATGAGCACCATGACCGCTTCAGAGTGATCAGTATGTATCAGGATTTGAGCTTTAGTTTTTCATTTTTGAAATCAATGAACATGGCTCTCGAGGCTCTCGATCGGCTATATGGTTTATCACATGCTTCCTGGGCCACTGTTTAGAAACGAATTCAAGACAGGCCAGCCAAGCAACAATCACGTGTATGCACTGGCTTCCAGTGGGGATGGAGCAATGCCAGCAGGATGTCTGTGGATCGTCCATGAATGCGTGGCTTGTCAACAGATATGCCACTCAGGCAACCCGACTGCATGGCCAAAGTGTCACCGAATCTGCGAATTGGCCCCTCGATCGTTTTGCGTCTTTTCACAATAAATGGATGACTGCCTGGGGATTCTGAAGCAGAGGCCATGAGACATCGCTTGGTTTGGGTTCATGAACATTTGCGATTTGAGCCGCTTGCCACTTGCGAAAGCGCACGCAGTGCATCGTCGCAACGATGGTCGGAAGTCCAAACATGCCACAGCAAGCTATCACCCCAAACATACAATCCTTGTTTGAGTACGATCCTTCGGTCCAAGAAGGTGGAATTGGAAGTACGAGCAACGCCCTGCACGATCACCGCACCACGTAGATGTTGAAAGTTTGCTTGACGTTCGGGGCTGGATCAATTCAAATCCTCTGCCTGCCCTAGGTGTGTTCCATTCTGTTTGCTGGTTGATGTTGGACCATCCGACCAGCTGCGCAGGCAGCATGCTCGAGGCCCCGGTTCTGTCAGGAAAATGTCGGCATTCTGTTGCAAAGGGCAATGTGGTTGAATATGGTTGCACTTCTGCATTACACGGCTTCCCACGTGCTTTGGGAAGAGCTGTACTCGCCCATGCCAATACTGCGCAAGCAATGGACTTTCGACTGCGACCTGGCCGGGACCTGCTGGGTCTCCGGGCCGCCAGCCCGGAGCGGCCCAAGTCCCCCAAGTCATCATCATCGGTGTCGGCCTCAGATTTCTCAAAGCTGAATCACAGGATCGTCCCAGGCTTCCAGCACCTGTTCAGCACTTGCCACCACCACAGCCCTCCGGCCACACGATACTAATAGTGTTGACACGTAGGGGCTCCACGGTCAGGATCCCAGCTTTGGGCCCCCCACTTCCGCACCCTCTGCTTGTGTTGCACTTGATGGTCCCGTACCTTGATGTGCGCTTTCAGATGCTTTCAGTGGGTAGTCGGAGACCGCTCTTAAGGTGGGCCTTCACCCTTGCCTTGCAAAGGCTGACTTGGAGCTTCTCGTACCAAGCTTCCTGAGCAATGACGTGCAGGGGAACCTGTACAGCCACTTACAGCCACTTACAGCCACCGCAACACCTCGGGAATTGGACACAACGTCTCACATGTCACAATGTCCTTGTCTGGGCGGAGCTTTCAGGACATGCAAGGAGGCCTCACCTGGCCCGTCATGTGGACATGCATGGGATCCCGTGAGAGCGACAATACTCGTTCGATGGCCCTCTGGGCAAAGTACTTTCGAAGACCAGCCGTCCAGACCCTCCTCGTCGGCTCCTGCGTATATACAACGTCTTGGGGATCCGTGTCGCTGCTGTGCTCTCATGTACCGGGCATCCTCGAGCACGACCTGGCAATCCAGCAACACACTCCAACCAACGAGTCAATCGAGAGGTAGCCCACTTGCCGGAGGCACGAATCAGGAGACCATCCAGCCGCCCTGGCAGCGGCACTCACCTGCAGCGTTTGGCCTTGGGGCCTTGAGGTTGCTTTCGATGCCACTAGAAGAACATGCAGATGCTTCGAGAGAACACTCTGGTCTGATGGCACCTGTCTTCGAAAAACATTCACTAAGCATTCGGCCTAGGGGCCTAGTGGACAAAGACCAACGACGGAGTTGACACACATTTCTGAATCTGAGCAGTCTTTGTTATGTACTTATATACTAAGAAGGCCCCGACATACGAAACAATGCTATGCAATCATTACTCAAAGTACATGCTCCCCTTCTTCTTCCGACAGAGCGCTTGCCCGCATCACTCGTGAACTTGACCAAATCGGAAGGCATCTTGGGGCTAGCAAAACCTCGAACTGCCAGGGTATGCCGATGCTGACATATCTTGACGTGCCTCGACGTCCCTCTCATCAGCGTCCGCGTCCGCATCTTCGAGGTCCGGACCTCCACAGAGCCAAAGAGGTTCTGAGAGCACATGCAGTCACCGATCAGTCACGCGCATCATCATGCATATCATATACCACTTACTGATATGTTTTCTAATCCTTTCTGCAATGCTTCTGTCTATGTTGCCACTGTCAACTCTGTTGTGAATGGGAGAATTCTGCGACTCGTGTGCCGAAGGCCTGGTAAATAGCGAGCAAACCTGTCTTCACAAGGCTTGAGCTCCTGCACTTAGGCAACGTTTGACACCAGCATCCGCCAGCAACCGCCAACCAGAGGCCCCACGTGACATCACGTGACACTGCGATACGATACTGCCAGCTCTTCAATTCTATTGAATGCAACTGGCTACAGACTCCTGTAAAGTGCCAGTCTCTTCAAGGTTCTCGCACACCTCGGGCTCGGCTGGCAAGGCGTGACCTCAAGGTCACAGGCTTCCAGCACTCAGGTGCCTCTCCCCCTGCACTCCACAAGAATTGGTACAGCATCCACTGGTCTCTGGTGCCTCTGGGAGACTGCAGGGCATCTGTCTGCACCTGGAATCCGATGTGGCATTCGCATCCATTCCAAACATTGACAAAACGAAAGCGTTTCAAATCCAAAGCGAAGGGCATGCCCACCTCTTGCAAGCATGCTGAGGCATTGTCTGCTCCAGGCATGACCTCGACTTTGACCAGTTGCAAACTCCCACAATTCAATTCTTGGGGCACTTAACAGCGTCTCTGAACATGTTGTGGCCATACCTGCATAGGCTACTATAACCCTATAACCCCTCAAAAAGGCCCTTTACAGGGTTGGTTCGGGGGAGTATAAGGCCTAAAAGCCCATGCTGGTATTGGCCATTCGGTACCTCAGGCGATCACTCCTTGGAAGTCGTCCAGTGGCGGTACCTCCAGGGCGCCGCGCCGTCCCCTTAAATAGAGTTCTGATTCGTGTCAGCACATGCTAGGGTATAAGGGTTTAGGGTTTAGGGTTTAGGGCTAGCACCGTCTGAGCATATGCATTTAAGCATATGCATCTGAGCACGTGCATCTAAGCATCTGCGAGCATCCTTGCTGCATTTTGTTCTGCTTGTTGCTCCCATTGCTCCTTGTCAGCAACCCGCAGGAGTCGTCGCAGGGACGATCTGCCCTGCTGCAAGACTCGCCGAAGGGTGGCCTTCCAATCACTCGCTGAGAACTCGCACTGAAAGGTCCACCTTTGCGTAAGCTCTCTACTAACTCTACTATCTTTGAACGACTGGACCGAGCGCCTTCTTTTCACAGTCGAGTTGCTGCAGGCGCTCCCGACTGTCGTCCTGAACTTGCAGATGCACACAGATGGCAAAACCCGTCCGCACTCTGCGCACCTCCAGCTTGCGAAGACAAGCCTCACTTTCCAAGAGCTCCTGCACCGAACTCTACATATCTCTACATGCACAGGCAACCTTCTGAGCCAAGACGTCCTCTTCGCACCGAGCAAGGTCACACACGGCCGTGTGCCTGCCACATAAAAAGTACCCCCCGACATGACCGTGGAGCTCCAAGTGGCCAGCATCTGGCCCGATCTTGACATGCCGGAAGCTTCGTCTCTGGTCATGCGGCTCATGTGACCAGAGACATCATCAATCATCATCATAAGCAAATAAAAGAGCAAAAGGAAATCGCAAAGAGTACATCACTCTGAACAGGGAGGGAGGTACTGGTCCACCGCCGTCTTCTCAGTCCTTGGGGCTCCACATTCAGGCTTAGGCCTTCCAATCGCGACTTTAATCGTCTTGAATCAGCGCAGGCTTGCTTGGCGTATCTTGGTGTCGCACGACTTTCGCCATCGCCATCGCTTGTCACCTGAACCAAATGCCCAAAACAGCGACTGAACATGTACAATCATAGCCAACCAGCTACGGTGAACTGCAACGAGCTGAAGAGCTGCGCCTTCACCTCCTGCAAGCCTTCGAATGGCACAGTATGGCATAGTACGGCATCGAGCGCATGATGATGGCTGCGCTGCGCTGAGGGGCCGCACTTGCACTTCGCGTCTAAGGTCTTTTGTCGAGTTCTTGCATACCGTTCCTGTCCATGCAAGCATCCACGACAGCTTTGATCCCAACAACTGATCTGATGTCGTCCTGCAGCTCTGCGAAACGCCTCCTCACCTGCCCCAACAACAGAAGCAAACGCAAAAACGAAGAAGGAGAGGAGGAGAAGCAAAGGAGCAAAGGAGCAAAGGCGGAAAGGAGTAAAGAAGCAAAGAAGCAAAGAAGGGGTAAGGAAAGGGTTCACCTGCTGCAGGTGTTTCGCGCGGCCAGTGCTCTCTTCGACCAACGTCGCGATCGTCCTGCCAAGGGGTTCGAGGACCATCCGCCTTGGCGCGGTCTTGTGCTTGGCGTTCAAGACCGACAGAGAGAGAGAGAGAGAGAGAGAGAGAGAGAGAGAGAGAGAGAGAGAGATAGAGAGAGCGAGAGCGAGAGCGGGGAGCAGTCTGAAAAAGAGGTCTCTTGTAGGCGCTCTGATTTCTCAGAGGTCCGAGCTCCAGGTCCACCGCGACAGCCAGCAGCGCTGTGCTGAGGTTCGCAAAGGTGGACAGGAAGTCCGTGCAATCGTCAACCTCTTCAAGAGTCCCTCAGATCCCTCGGTCTCAAGCCACTCGTGCTGAGTGATGGACTGAAGCCGCGAGTGGAGTACCAGCCTTGGAACCGCAAGCACAGAAACTCACGGGAAAGTGGCCTGGACACTCCAAAAGGGTGAACAACTCTGTTGGCCTCTGCCTGCAGCCGCTTCATTGCACCCCCACAGACCTGAGTCTGCATGAGCCTGCAAGTCTGCCCAGGCTGAAAGAGGCGCCCTCTGGTCACCGCTGGAGTCACCACGCGTGCGTTGTTGAAGCTGTGGATCTCAGGGCCAGGCACCCTGCAGATGATCACCGAAGATGCGGCAGTCGGATGCAATTTGTCCACTCACCTCCTGGGCAACATTCCCTCTCACAGCCTTGGAACGTGTCGCGATGTCTGCACATGATGCAACAACCTCTCCGAATTCCTGTAAAGCTCACAGAAAAACCATGAGCGAAGGAGCGTGGAAGCATCCCTGCCTCCAATAGTCTGCATGACTGCACATCACAATGCATCCACTCCGGCCTGAGAAGAGCCCAAGCTAAGTGCTCGCCAGCTAGTTTGAGATATGTCTTTCATTCTGAGAATGGCAGCAGTGGCTGCTTCCTAAACGGGGCCGGGCAATATGCGTCATGGTCCTCTACTTCAAGAGCATTTTCGGAGGAAAGTTTGCCTTTACATGGTCTGCGCTTGTGCCTTAAAAAAATCCTGAGAATAAATTGGCTCGAGAGCGCTTCGAACTTCCGCTCCGCTCAGCAGACCAGCACTTCGTGGGGCATGTTCATAGAAACCGGTGGCTCTGTAGACATGATTCAGCACATGCGCATCTGCAGATGCAACTGAAAAACTGGCCGAGAACTGGACAGCACTTCAGGCTTTCCGACGCTCGGGACCTTGTGTCAGCAGGCCCAAACCAGGCTTTGTGCCTCTGACTGCCCCCCGTGTCACTGGCCCCTGATCTCAGGCCCTCGCAGATGCCATCCTCGCCGATCATATCGAGATGCTCCGAACTTTCTCAAGTTAGCAGAACGATTCTTGACTGCAGTCTTGCCCGTGTCCAAGAACTTAAGGGCAGAGCTGTTGTGCCGGCGAAGGCAACGACAGCGTACTACATTGGTTAGTCTGTATATGATACCAAGACACTTCTATCAGACATACGACATCCATGCTGCGTGGCTAACGTCGGAAATGTATTTTCCCGTACTTTCCGGAATGGCTGCAGAGTGGCTTCGTCTTGGTCCCTCTGATGAGTCGAATGAGAGTCCGATGCAGCGAACCAAGCACATCAAGGGCACCAAGCAAGGGCACCCAAGCCTTGCATAGTCCCTTGCACCCCTTGTCGGTCTGGTCCAATCAACGTTCAGAACCCAAAGGCGAAAGAGTTGCGATGTCTTTGCATCGTTGCATCAGCCCAGCCACGCTCAGCCGCTGAAGGACTTCCCCACTTTGGACCTGAAATATGCACTTGTAGATCTCAGCACTGAAGGCTGAAGAGTTCAGACCAGATCGACTTGCTAAAGTCAACATGACCCGATCTGACCCGTACAGAAGCATGTTGTACGTTCTTTGCTTTCGTAAGAAGATTAGGCAGGAACAGCGCGCCAAAGCTTGTATTGCCGACATCCTGCAGGAGGTGTCACAAGAGGCACTAAGTGAGGTTCAGGCCTAAGTCCAGCATTCCGAGCATTCCGAACATTCCAAGCATTCCAAGCAAAGCATTCCGAGCAAGGCTTTTTTAATCTGCCACACTTCGCTTGGATCTTGGCAGTCAATTGCGTGCCATGCGGCAGCAAACACACAATCTCATTAACAGGCCTAGACGCACTATCTGAGTCAGTGGCGGCGTCACAGCTCAGAATTGCCCAAGGAAACGAAGGAAGCGAGATTGCAACCCTGAACTGCAGCGAGTGGAATTTAGACAACGAGTCGGCAACAGCAAGGCAGCACGACAGTGTACCATATTTTGCCATGGTGTTCGCCTCTCTGCAGTGGCTGTGTAATGCCCCCACGAAGACGCAGACAGGAGGCACCACGAAGATCAAGATCTCCAGCATCTCGGCTATGTGTGCTCTGAACGCAAACATATGTCACACGCACTCACATGCATTCACATGCAAGGTCAGTGACAGGCCACATGCACACCAGATGCACAACAGGTAGCCTTTGCAGTTCGTGAGTGCGGCTGAGGGTAGACAGCCTCATTGTGCCGAACCCGATAGTCGCTGAGCAGCCCAGCCTTCACAATCGCCAACAGCTGCACTGCTTCGACGACTCAAGCTTGAGGGTACTCCGCCATGGAAACTGCCCCCGCCCCCCCGAACTTCCCGAAGTCTGCCTTCCGAACAGCCCTGGGCCCCTGGCCGTCACGGACTATGAACGTCTATGAATCACGTGAACCATCCACGACACTTGAACTGCGCGTTCACGTCCCAACTTGACGCCGGAGGGCCGAGGTCTTTTTCACATGATCGATGCCCGGATTCCACCAACGAACCATAAAGTCTGGATGAACATGGATGAACCACGTGCACGGCCGGCCGAGGCGGACGTGCGCGAGAACCGCTTGCGAAAAACATCAATAACCATCGCTTCAAGATGAAAATCCGGAACTCCAACCTTCTCCTCGTCATCACAGATGTACCAGCCCAAATCGGTATACGTGCCATCCTATGGCAGGAGACTTCTGCATGTGAAACTATGCGAACCAAATGCTCATGGTGTGAGTCCTAACGTGGGGAGCAGTGCTGCAAACACAGCAGGCAAGTCCTCCCGAATCGCGTTTGAAAGACGATACCTCAACGCTGAGGCAGTGTGTTGCTTCCTTCTATTTGGATTGTCAGGTTCTCGGCCTCTCATGAGCACAGATTGCCTACCATAGTGCAACTGCGCAGCTCGGGATACAAGTACTTGATCTCGTCATAGTCTGCCGGCAGACCCTGCACACAAAGGCTTTGACAGAGCGCAGGCGTGCGTCTGCGCTGAAAAGAGCCTGCACTGATGTCGCGGCCATCCTGCTTACCAACGGCTCATTGAAGAAACTGCCAACCTGACTGCTGCTGCACCGTTTGGGTGCCGCGTCCACATGTGAGGCCAGAATCACTGAAACTCTTGCTTGGAACATGCCACGGGCCTCTGCAATGAAGGTGAAAGCCAGGCTGTTCATTACAATGTCCTCAGAAAGGAAGGTTGGAAAAAGTGACTGAAACAGTATATGGACGGAAGCACAGCTTCGAAGCTGTCCATGGCTCACTGGGTCAAACTAAGACATAGCTTTTGAGGCTGAGGTCAAACGGCTCGTCAAAGGCGCATATGACGAGAAAGGAAACCTGCACAAATCTGAAAGTGGGGATCAGCGTGACAAAGAGAAGGTGCTGGACAAGAACAAATTGCACGTGACCTCCGAGGCCACAGCTCCGGTCCCCGACACTCATAAATCAGCCGGGTGGCCGTGGTGACGCACATCAGGACGATGTATCTAGGTAAATGCAGCACGGTCAGCTGACAACTGAATGAATCTGACAAGCAAACACACACACACACACACACAATTGTTTACCCCGATGTGGGAGACAGTTTGCTGACAGGTAACTACAAAAACACTTCGCCAAATTCTTCTGTCGCGGGATTCTCCCAGAAATCTTGGAGGGTGGGCACGCCAGAGATACTCGGCGGGACTCTGGCGGCCTTCTTAAGGGGAGGATACTCCAGGGATACTCGGCGGGTCTCTGCGGGAGTCCTTGGGGGCGGGGCCAGGGATATGGGCTTTGCGCTACAGAGATACTCGTCGCGACCTCCCACAAGCCTCTCTTGGGGGTTGGCACTCCGGGAAATTCGGCAGACAGACTCCTCTGAGGGCACTCGAGGGATATTCGGCGGTCTCTCTGCATGAATTTGTGGGCTGGCTCTCAAAAAATGGCACTCCGGGATGCTCGGCAAGACTCAACGGGACTTTCTGCCGGCATTTCTGGAGGTGCAAGTTTCTCTGCACACTCGTGGGACTTTCCGTGGGCGGATACTCGGCGGGACTGTCTGCAGGCTCGTTTGGGTCGGAAAGGCAAAAACTAAGCTGCCTGAAGCAATGGTCTGTCATGAACGTATGCACACGGGTGATCACGGGTGCTACCCCACACAGCAAGCCGCACCAACTTGCGCACGGGCATAGGGTTGGCGCTCCTGCCTACCCCAACCAACCGCGAACGAGGAGCATGGTTGACAAGCGCACACACACACACACACGTTCGATGCTCCCAACTGTGCCAGAAACTCAGAATGCTCTTTATTGTCAGTTCCTTGTTGGGATAGCAAGGACCGGACTTTCAGCTGCCACACGCTGCGGAAAAGACACCCGTTTACATGCTCTCTCACTTGTGGTCTTAGCTGAGGCACAAGTACATGCGACCAAGCTGCTGAACGATTGGAACACAAATTGCCCAGGAGTTCCGAACCACCTGTTCAATGGGCGACAGCGAAACCAGAACTTCTTACCTTTTTTTTTTTGGGGGGGGGGGGGGGGGGGGGGGGGGGTGGACAACGGCAGCAGCCTCTTACAATGTTATGCAAATATCCGCTATCGAGGCCACAAACATGTCGGCTGAGAGCCAGGCATGCTCTGATTCCTCCTAGATCCTCCCCCTCGACCATGTGCCTCGCCCTTCAACGGCAGAAACCAGCGGCTGAAGTCGTGATATCGAAGCAGCGCCCTCACCTCAGTTCATGTGCTATACCAGGCTATACCGCCCACGACTCAGGTGCAAAAAAAACACGCGCCAGACCAGACGTCTACCCAAGGCACACTGCTAAACTCCTGCAAGTAGACCTGGAGCAGCTGAGCACACCAGTCATTAAAAAAACACGGTGGGTTCTGTCAGGACAACACGGTGGGTTCTGTCAGGACAACACAGTGGGTTCTGTCAGGACAACACCATATCACTTGACAAGCTTGTTGTGAGATGTTTCAGGATGTCTCGATCCCAATGGCATGTCCAGCCTGGGAGAAGACCCAGGAACAACACACTAAGCGCAACATGAGCACAACGTAGTTCCCAGAGGCCAAAACCTCAGCATTTCCCAAAGGTACAATAAGCAATGCTACACGGACTGATTCCAGTAACTTGCTAGCATCTGTGTCAAACCGGGCTTGGTTGAGCCCTGGACTAAGTGATAAAACTCCGTGGCGTGGTTGACCTGTGAGATCATCACCGTCTGACCACGGACATCGGCTTCAAACCTGGGTTTCAATAGACAAGAACGGAGCTATCAGTAATTTTAGCCGGCATCCGACTCCTCTTGCTAGGGGTGCGACGCCGGCTCTGCAGTTGCCTCGAAGATGCTCACGTGACATGTGCTGCAATGCCGTGACATGTGCTGAAATAAGTGCTCTGGTTGTCAGAAAGACATGAGAGAGCTGCCAGGCGACCGATGAGCAAAGCAAGTGGTTTAGTTAAGGAGGTTGACAGCATATGCCAAGACGAGTGGGTCTTGCGCCATGCAGCCCCTGATTGTCCCATGCATGGATCGAGCTGCCACGCAAGAATATGTCTCCCGTACTCCCTTTCCCAGCCTCGCAAGCCTCCGTCGTTGCTGCTGCGAGGAAACCTGGCGGAGACCGTGCACAAATGCATAGCTTAGCTGCATCTCCTGCTTTAACTCCATTATGACTGACTGTGTACCTATGACCTGAATTAAACTACAACTGGTACCAGAAGCAACTTCTAAAGGCTCAATGAACGCTGCGTAATACAGCAAAGCCGTGTTTGCGATCCTGTTTCCCCCGAACAGTGTGCGACACTATGGGTATCTTAAATCAAGGCTGAGGGAAAGTTTCATAGGAGTTGCGCGATCGACGCGCTCGAAACGCTCGCGAAACGCGCCCGCGTACGCGCGCTATTCCTCGAGCAGCGGTCGCATTTTGGACGGAAACCGTACGCTTTCCACAGCGCAAGTGACGTCCCAGACTTCTCGGGCCTGGAAACATCGCAAATTAGATGCTGTCTGCCATTTCTGCTTGCTGGATGTTGTCGAATCTCGCTCTCGCCTGGGCCCTGTGCGCACATCGTGGTGTTTAGGGCTGGAAACTGTGCTCCTCGCTTAGGCCCGCTGCGATTTTCATGGCTTGCTGACCACGTGGCAGGCACATGGAATCCTGCATTTCGTGCCGTTGGACGGGCTCACTGCGTGCGTCCAGCACGATGTTGAAAATCGCGCTCCCGCCGAGGCGCCGCGCACCGACGTCGCCATCCTCGCAACTGTCGTCGCTTTTCAACGTCTGGGTTCGCCGGGGTGGCTCGCGAGTCGACTTTTGTAGTGCCAGTCATAGTAGGCCAAGGCTGTCCGGAGCTCTGCTGGCTCGATGGTCTACTTGTGTTGTACACGCGGAGCGAAGGACGTCTGGAGCTCTAGTGGCATCAAAGTCGCTCTGTCGTGACCCATGAAGCCCTTCGTGTCCCATGTGGTCTCTCACTTTTTGGGGTCAACTCTGGCATAACTCACGATATTGCAACACACACACACAGAGCAGCAGTGCAGAAACAAGCGCTTCCAACGACTTGCGACACGATCAAAAAGTCTGCTGCACCTCGCGCATGCAACGCAGACACAGCTGTTAGGTTCTGGCAGTTGACAAAGGCGCTGTCCTGCTGAACCTGACATGCCATGCAGTGCAAGGAGCACAACTCAAGTACATCGTCAATGAACTGCAATTGGCTGCAGATTTTTGCTTCTTGTTGCTTCGTGTTCTGCTTCGCGTTTTGCTTTTCGCGTTTTGCTTCGCGTTTTGCTTCGTGTTTTGCTTCGCGCTTTGCTTCGCGTTTTGCTTCGCGTTTTGCTTCGAGTTGCTTCGCTGCAGACAAACTTGCATTCTCTTCCTCCAACTCTTTTAACATGATGGTGATACTGCCGCAAAACTACCAGACTGATGACTCTCCGAACGAAGTTTGAGAGCAAAGTGGAGCAATGTGAAAGAGCGAAGGTGAAGATGAAAATGCCGTGTGCAAACTTCTGTAGCTGTTGCATGCCGAGCCACCGTAGGGGGATAAAGAACCTTGGCCACAGGATGATGGGCGATCACAATGGCAGGAGGAACCATAGGCCATACGCATGAATCTGGCGAATGAAACAAATGAATCATATCTAAGTCTAGGACTGGGAGTTACGGAACATGTGCCGTCGCAACTAGACATATTCAATGCTGCAAGGCACCTAAAGCACTGTAAGCTCATCTCTGATTCGTGAGGGTTTTAGAGGCTGCCTGAGTACCCTGCCTTCTGTGCCCAATTCATATCAATTCATCAGGTGGCAGTAATGGCTGCGATAACGAAGATCTGAGAACCGGCGATGAACAGCAGATAGAGCCACGCAATGCGAACCTGGAAGGAGGAAGCCAGCATGTGTGTGTTCGTGTGGGTTCACGGGCTGGGAAACTCTTCGAGATGTTGAGGCACTCGTTCTACATGGGCTCCGTTGAACCTGCTGACCACTTCTGCACCGTTGCTGCGGCAGCTTGTAGCTTCTTAGTCCTCTCAGAACAGTGTCGTGCCAGGATGCATCCGGATTTCGAAACGGGGAAATGCTGTACCTGATACAAAGAAGAAGGTCGATGCAAAAGCACATGGTAAACACGCGCTCAAAGATGAACGTAGACAGTGGCATGGTGCCAGTGGGCATCCAAGACACATTTCAGGTGTGGCATTTCTTGCAAGCAAGTAGAACGTAGCATAAACATCCTCTGCAATCTGGAAATCATCAAAAGGACCTCGGCAACAAGCTTAAGCACAATCTTGCCATCACGTAAGCACTGCAAGATCCGGTGGGTCAACAGATAGTCTTCAACACAACGTGTCAAAGTCAGAGTCAGAGACAGAAATTCATAAATGCAAGGATATACTGTACTTGGGACATGTGCATGGCACTTGTCGACAAAGGAGGTTGGAAGACAGGAGAAACAAGACCAAGAGGTCAGCATGGAAAATCTCCCAGGAGAAAAAGCAACAAAAACGGCATCGAAACAAAATCACACTGGCCTTCCAGAAGCTCGTCGGGGATTTTACTGCGATCCTCGCATCGGAAGGGAAACTTCACCTGGCTGGATCATCCATGCAAACGGAAAACCTTTTGGTGCACCAATCACACTCCCGGGTGAGACTCACCTTCACGGAGGGCGTAGATGGCTCGGCCTAGTGGTGCAGATTGGTGCAGTCTGCTTGCAACATGCATCTGACAAAGTCTGTTTGGGCCTTGTTGGCGGAATCCGACCGAGAGATGCTCTCAAAGGATGCTCCAGGTCGTGACCTCATTTGTACTTGCCGGGCACGATTGCTTGTTCCGACTGCATTTTTGCCCACCTCGACACCTGAGACGACTCCACACGCGAATGGCGATGGCCCATGGCTTCATGCAGTGCCAGTTGTGGTCACAAGAAGCAGAAGGTGTTACGGCTTTGTTGCAGCTTCCATGGTTTGCTTCTGTCTCACGCGCTGGAGGTTGAAAGAGGCTGGACATGAGTCATGAAACATCTTTGCAAAAGCAACTCTGCTCCATCGCTGCTAATCTATGCTCGTCTGCAATGTTTTGCTAGAGCCTTTCACAATCTGCTGGAGACTCTGTTATGGTCCAGCTATGGCATCCAGAGCTCGGAGTAGGCTGGCCCTTTGAGTGCTTGCACGTATTTGCTGAAAGTCTTTGCAAGTGGCATTCAAAACAGCGACCCAAAACAACGACTGAAACTAGTAAAGCAACAGAAGAACACTCGAGCACGCAATGAATAATGGCGAATGTCCAGAAAAACTGCAACACCCTCCCCTGCAGCTTGCGCCTGCATCACGCTGTGGAAGCGCCAAAGAGGCTGCACAGGGGGTGTCACGTGACATGAATGTTACAGGAGCTGTCCCAGTTTCTCCAACTTCAGGATTCATGCCGGCCCCTTCTTCCCCCCTTGGATGTTAGTGGAGAAGTTCCCCTCAATGAAACGCGACAGGCCCATGTTTTTGGTCAGCGGCACTCTTGCCAATATAGCTTTAGGGTTAGGCTGTAAAATTTCTGCATGTATACGTTTAGACTACGGACCCATGCTTTGAACCTTCGAGAAAAGAGCTTCCGTGCAAACTGTGTTTCGTCAGCACTTGCCTCCATGAGGCTTCCAAGGCGATTCCAAACCTGGCGAGCCACGAAGAAGCACTGGACTCAGCCAGAGTAATGTTTCGGTGCTATTTTTTGCTCTTCATTATGAGGGCACCTGAAAAAATCCACAAGTCAGTGCATCAATTCACCTCCCCTAAGAGCTTCTATTCTGCCGTGCCTCCGCAATCACAACCTCGCTGCAAGACACCCGCTGGTTGCTTTGCAGCTTGCTCATGTCTTTCGTTTTTCTGAATCGGTGCAACTCTTTCTGAAATCGTTCTCCATTTCTGTCAGCGCAAGCTGTTCGTCCCAGGCCGTGGCTTGCAAGATCATAAGGATGACAATGCCCAAGTACAGGAGAGGAACCAGCCTGTGCTGATGCTGCACCACCATCTCCACTCCACAACGGCCCCTTGCATAGCTCCCCGAACACATTCAAGCTTTTCAAGCTTTCGCTTGAGGCGATGACTTGTCCTTGATCGACTCGAAATAGCCCTCGCGCAGCAAATAGATTCCGCCTGCAAGCACAAGTGTTTCGAGTATCGGAGGGCAAGCGCATCATCCCATACATGCAGCTGCGCTGCTTGCCTATGGATCAACAATGATCAGCAGGCTCAGAGCTGCCTGCAGTTGCGATGAGGATGATGAGGAACAATCGCGCAACCTGGGTGTGACATGGATCCACAATCTTGAGACGAGCGTTCAAGATCCCAGGGGCGGTTGCCAAGTCTGGACAACAGTGATCAACAAACGTCACTCTTCAATCCGCCGAAGCCCCCTCCCCCCACCTTCGCCTACCCACCCCTCCCTTACCCTCCACAGAGCAAGCTTTCCTGGGAAGTGGCCAACCGTAGCCCGATCGTTCGCTTGCCGTCGTTGGTGGGAGCACTTCAATTCCCGTCAAAGGCGACTGCCAAATGCAGCGCACTACGTAGACGGAAGGTCTGATGGACCCAAGTTGGCATGTATGGCATACGGATCACATAAGAGGTGCGCATCAAACCCACATGCCAGCGCAAAATGGTGCTCCTAGCGTTATCACTACACACACACACACACACACACACACTCGCGCGCGGGTTTCACAACCTGCATTCAAGCCTCAGGCTGTCTTGTGCTTCATGTTGCAGCAGAACCTTGCAGGAAAAGAAAGCTCATGAAATCTGCAGGCGACTGAACTCAGATGAGATCAGCATGACGCCTTAACTTCATCTCCTCCAAGCACTCGGAGAAGTCTGGAAGACGCTCTGGAACTGCATCGAAGCAATTGGGCAAAAGATTCAGACTGCAAAACGTTGCAAGATGCAAAGTGATAGGATTCGTGTCGTTCGTTCGTATTCAGTTCCCTGCCTTCGAAATGTCGCTTGCGACGATTGCTCGCCTTGATGCGAGCTCTGCGTCCGAAGAATGCCTGGGCATGACTTTGGATGCACATCTTGTTTTCTGATTAGCCCGCATCAGCTTGTCTTCCGCGTGCCCAAGCACAACAACAAAGTGAGGCCACATCAGCCATAGGCGCTTTAAGTTGGCGGCAACAAGGTGCACCAAGTAAATCAAGAAGTAGATGCATGCCAGTATGCCGGCAACCTGGAGCAAGCCAGATCTGGCTAGAAGCTAATGCTGGAACTGATGGCGTTGATGTTGCTGAGGCTCTCTCAAGCAACGTCATGGGTAGTGGCGCCCTGTCACACGCGTGGTGGTTGGGAAATGGAGCAGTTGTGGAGTTTTGGGTGCGGGCAAGGGGCTTGGGGGGGCGAACTGTGGATTCCTGGACTTGCTATACTTATGCCCCGCACATGCGCTCTTGAGAATAGATGCAGGTTTATGGCTTGGAGGTTCTCATGAGAGTTGGGGCCATCTCATCAGGAGTAGTCGCTCAAATGACAGGGGCTTCGCTCTGATGCCATGATGTCATGACACAAGAAACATGCCAGGGCGTTCCCAAAGTCGATGCCATGTAGGCTGTTGCTGCTTTGCCTGTGCCAACAGGCAAGGAAGCGTGGTGTGACAAATCCTGTCAGATCCTGGTGTTCATTCCACTCTCTGACCCGGTGTGGCCGCTCCATTCTGCCTGCAAGTTCTTTCTCGATCCGTGGCCACATTCAGGAAACAAAGTCGTCAACAGGATGAACACAGTCGGACAACAACTTCTTGGGGGACCCTAGGGAAATCAATATTACAAAAAGGAAATCGAAAATTCGTTGAGCGTCGACCATTTCAGGGAATGTAAGAAAGGTCAACAATAACCTTTTTTTTTGAAGCTCCTTGATTTGAAAAGAACTAAAAACTTAAGGAGCTTTAAATGCCTCAAGCTTAACTTCCCTATTCAAGGACCTTAAGGCACTTCCAAATCGTTGAAGCCCGTAAACTTCTAAAGCTGTATGCAATTAAGGAGGTTAGAGGAGCTCAAGGCTTTTCGGAAACTCACGACCTGGACACGAGATGTCTGGTATGCTGATCTTTCCTGGGGGTAGCTGCCCATGCTTCAGTGCATCTCAGTGTGGTCAACAAGTTTCTGCTTGTAATCTGGGATGCTTGGTTGGAGGTCCAGATGTGCTCCCATACGTTCCCACCTCCGGCTTCTCCGAAGTACGGGACTGCCACTGCATTTGGGGGCCCCACCAGGCAACTAACGCCCGATCCAAGCCCACAACACAATTCGAGCATTGCAGCACAAGTCCTTGGATGCTATGGTCCGTGCACTGGGATCTACGGTATAAAAAGATGCACCCTTACATGCTGAAGGGTTCACGTTGGCAGTGGACCCAAGTGGTGACTGCTGCATGCTGGATTTAGCAGCTTGACTCAGGCCCCAACTTGCACCGAAATTTTAACAGGCGTGGGGACACAACAAAAACAAAACCCGAGAGCAGGCCTTCGATGGCGATGGAGAGCTGCGCAAGGGTTTCCTTCCAGCCGACACACTTGTAAATGCAAAACTTGCTGCGATGCAAAGACACCCTCACTCTTCATATCCAGGCACTCTTTTTCCCAGAATACCTTTTCCGAGTAACATGTTTCCGGTTGTTGGTTTCGGTTCAAAATTGTTCAAAAAAAAATAAAAAAAAACAAAAATTTTTTTTTTTTCAGTTTTTCAAAAAAAAAAAAATCTTTTTCAAAAAAATTTTTGGCAATTTTTTTTTCAAACAAAAAAAAAAAAATTTAAAAAAAAAATTCTTCAAAAATCACACAAAAAAAATTGTTTTCAATTCAAACAAAAATGTTGGTGGTAGGACCGCTCGCACCCTTCAAGCGGGAGTTCTCCAAGCGGAGTGCAGGTCCCTCCTCTACCAAAGAGGAGGTGGAAGAGTTGTCACGATTTGCAGATGTGTATTACTTTTGTATGAGTCGGACATGTCGGTTGGCATTCAACGAAGAGAGAGCGGCGGCAGGGAAGAGCAATTCAACTGCACATGGCTCCAGCGGATGGAGGATCTCTGCATCTTCTGGAGCGCGGGGACCCAGACACCTGAAGCTTTCGCAAACTGAAGTTCGCCAAATCACACCTGTTGCGTCACGTTTTCAAGCTTGGGAGCCTCCTCGCCGAGAAAAATTGGTTCGACAGTGCCCTTCCCCAGCACTGCACCGAACCTCACAGCCCCTGTTTCAAGCCCATCCCCGAGTTGGCGAGCGAAGGTCGATGCGGGGTCATAGCGTTGGTTGATGTGAGAGTCTTTGCCGGGCCGAGTGCCTCCTGAGGTCTTTTTTGTGGACATGGCTCTGTTTTCAAACCTTAGCATCCAGAAGTGCCAGAGCGACCCGCTGCGTGTGAGGTTTCATGTGAGGCTACAGCAGCGGCAAGCTGGGGCATCCTGCAACATGCAAGAAAACGAAAGCACGGCTGAGCCTTTGCATAGCTAGTACAGAGGACACAGACGTGCAATAACAAATCTTGCTGGTCGTACCCATCTCCAAGGAAATGCGGCCGCCGAAACCTTGGCCCAAATCACCGCGAGCAACAGCTACGGTAGTTTCAGCTGTGCCGGGTGTTCCGGGGCTGTGCTGTGGGACCAAGGCTGAAACTGTACATGACCAAGGCCAAGCGCAATGCAAAACTTGCGTTTCCTGGCGCGGCAAATCAGTTGCATAGGTTGCAACCAACCATCCCAATTCATGACCCCTTTCGTTTTGAACGAAGTTACCAACATGGAAGGATTGACTTGATGCTCGATCTTTGAACTGAACACTCCGAACGTTGCAAAACCTAGTTTACAAGCCGTTCAATGCAAAAATTTATTCGAGCTAGGTTGAGCTCCGAATCCCAGCACA